CCAGGATTGAGAAGCTCTCCATGTACTTCCCCTTGGTGCTCAGGTAGGTGGGCACAAAGGACACCCACACACTGCAGAAGGCTAACATGCTAAAGGTGATCAGTTTGGCTTCATTGAAAGTATCAGGCAACCTCCGGGCAAAGAATGCCACTGTGAAGCTGATGAGAGCCAAATTGCCCATGTAGCCCAGGATCAGGTAGAACATGTGAACAGAACCTTCATTGCATTGAACTATTATTACATCAACCTGGGATTGCATGTCAAATTCTGGGAATGGGGGAGAAGTCGCCAGCCACACAACATAGATTCCAGCTTGACTGAGTGAAGAGAGGATGATGACTAAGAAAGCCAGTCTTTTCCCCAGCCATTTCTTCACCCTGTTTCCAGGTTTAGTGGCCATGAAGATGAACACCACCGTGATGGTCTTTACTAACACACAAGTGACAGCAGTGGAGAAGATGATGCCAAAGACAGTTTGCCTCAGAAGGCAGGTCATCCACCCAGGCCTCCCAATGAAGAAGAAGGAGCAGAGGAAGTAGAAGAGCAGGGAGGCAAGCAGGGCACACGTGACACTCCAGTTGTTGGCTTTGACAATAGGGGTATTGTAGTGCTGAATGAAGCTCCACAGCACTACAAGTTTGATCACAGAAAGGAAAAGTGCCAAGGAGGCCAGCACAACTCCTAAGGGCTCCTCATAAGATAGGTAAATTATTTCTCTGGCAATGCTTTGATCTTGTGTCTTGTTTGGATACTGATCATCTGGGCACATTTTACATTTGTCTGCGTCTGAAAGTAAGGAGCAAATTTTTGTACTTCCAGAATACAAAAACACAGCTTCTTTCACCCAATCTACTCTTGCGGCAAGCAAAATATAATATGAAGCTCCCTCATTTTTCCAATATTCCTGGTGGTTGCTCAGGTAGCTGTCTCTTAAGAAAATGCATTTATATGCCTCAGTAAAGACAAAACTGCAAGTAATTACATTCAATCTCAATTGAAAACTTCTGGATTACTTTCCAAGTCACTCTGGATTCCTTCACTTACCCTTCTCAGTTGAAATCCTCCCTTGGGGGCACTCAAGGCAGTCAGAGCAACACATCTGTTTCCCTTTCTGGACAAACATGCTCTGTCCAGGGTAGCAGCTCTTGACACAGATAGAACTGGGAAGCATCTAACAGAAGGAAGGACATATCTTTCACAAATGTGTCTACACAGAGTAATTCAATTTTAGTCCTCCTTCACCTTGAAAGCAATGTTGTTACAGCTGTGGGATGGCCAGTTTTGGCCCTCTAGCTGAGATGCTTCAGAATGAGACAGAAGAAGACTGAAGGATATCTTACATCTTGGCAAGACCAGCCTCATACCTTCTTTGTCCCCAGAACATGCCTTAAACTCATTTCTGAGATGGTTCTTGACAGATCAGGGGTGGAGTCCACATGGTTCTTTCTGTACCAGCTGTGAGGGCCAGAGTGGGGCACTCTTATTGCACATACCCAGCCATACGTTTGCAAGGATTTTCTGATCCCTTAGCAGGGTTTCCCAGAGCTCTTATGGCAATCTAGGTTTGGCTGTAGGATTTTGCTGTAACAGTAGCAATGCTTGCTTGGAAATGGTAGATAGGGGTAATTAGGGGTAGAGAAAGGCTATCCAGATTCAGCCCAACTGCTAAAAATCTGCGCTTTTTAATTCCAAAATCCAAAGTTAGTACAAAAAGAAAGGAAAAAAGCAGCGTCCTCTTTAGTATTACAGAACAAGGTATGATGTGGAAAATAGTTCATTCGTGCTTGATGTGCTCATGATTAATAGTTGAAATAACTGTATCCATTTTTGGTATAAATTTTGGAAGTGCGTATTGCATCATGTTGTTTACATGGTTGTATTTTGCAGATACTTCTATCCTGCATACTCTTCATATTAAATTAAACAATGGAAATGAAAAAAAAAAAAGAATTGCAAATCATGCACTGCACCTCTCTGGTGGAACAGATACTGGTCTCAAACTGTAAGTTCCATCAAGTCAATGGGTTGGGCAGGCCAAAGAGTCAAAGAAGACCAAGGGACTGAATTTCATTTTGTTATCTTTGCTCACCATTCAGATCTTGCTGCCCCTTTGGAATTGTTCAGAAGACACCTACTCATCTGGTCATCACTCACACCTGGATGGCAATAAGCCATTCTCCTACACCCTATCAGGAAGTTTCTTTAAGAGATCTGATGACTACATTTTAGAAGAAAAATCAGAGTGAAAAAGGAAGGGAAATACATTGATTAGCAATCAACTCAGTGCTTCAGCAGCAAAGAGCTGAGCTTATTTGGATCAGGACATGTCAGTGTTGAAACACTCTACTAAGGGAAGCTGCCCCAATCTTCCAGTTGCAATTTTTTCCAATTCCAGGCTAATTCCAAGTTGTGGGAGGGGTCCCCTTTTAAAAGAATTGTTGCATTAAAGCATTGTTGGCTTCTCAGGGCACAGTCCTCTGACCTCCCAGCATCATCAGGAGACCCCTTTGGAGACACACCTCCAAGATTCTGTGATTTCAGAGTAGGGATTCTGCAGGCTGAGACCTTCTGCCTACCCCTGAGGTTGAAGCTGGGCCTCAGTGGGGAAAAAGGAATGTGCCAGGGGCGAGGAGGGGAGAAGGCTGGGGTTCTGGCCTTACAGTGATTCACACTGGTGTTCAGGCTCCTCCCATCCCCATCTGCAGTGCCTAATATAGATGGTTGAAAATGGCTGCTAAGATAAAATCCCTGGAGTGAGGTGTGGCAGTGACAGGGATTTCCATTGCCATGTCTACTTCCTGGGATGCACCAAAGTCTTCAGGTATGGAGACTTGCATGCACTGAGGCCACATGGCACAGGGCAGCTCCCTTAGTTTCATTTTGTCACTTCCATCTAGTTTTTGCTTTTATATCTGAACCTAGTTGTCGTTTTTGAATCATATTGCATTCTATTTTGTGTGGGTATATGTCCTCCTTTTAAATTGTTAATCATTTTGATTGGGATTTTATCTGCATGATTTCTGTACAAGGGAATTTCCTCATGACACTTTTAGTAACATAATCAATAAATCAATTGAGTAAATAAGATGGAACTTGTGCGACATATTCTGATACAAATCTCTACCATCCTAGACACCTGTGTCTGGAATGAACTTGAAACAGATGGTGCTGAAAATAAAAATGGCAATGTACACTTGATTAAACTTGTGATTCCACGGGATGACACTTCCACTAATGTCAACGCCATTCTCTAGCTCAGCCTCAGGGCCCACCCTTCCAATTTGGACTCCCTCGAGTGATTCATTGGGGGAAATGACCATGTTGATCAGATCATATCCACCTGGCAGGTCTCCATTGCCATCAAAAAATATTTCTTCCCCAGCACTATGTTGTTTTTGCTTACTTTAAGAAGTGTATGTTTTGAGAAAAGGCCTGTGTGTGTTGGGTGTGTGTGTGTGTATTTCTTGGGTGAACATTGTTGCAGCTATTGTACTCTGCCATCATGTTCAAGATAACCTGCATTTCAAGAACTGCCTGTGCCTCAAGGAAAACCCACATGCAACCCGTTCTCAACCCTTCACTGGGCCTCACCTTATTTCCCGAACCCATTCTGTGTCTCCATTCCAAGGGGTACAGTGAGCTATGCTTTGACATACAACTTGGAGGTGGGAGAGGAATGAGCAAAAGGACTCTTTAGCAATCTATATCATCCACAAAGCCAAGGTCAAAGAAAAGGTATCTCTCCAAATAAAATTGTTTAATGCAAATGGATACAAATGTAACAAAATAACAAGGACATATATGTCAGAATAAAAATGAAAACATGAGTCTATAAAGCCATAGCATAATACATCAAATGCATTTTGACATCAGATTCATCAAGGGCTAGAAAGCAAACACATAACATAACAATCTAAGAACTGGGAAATTCTGTGAATAGATTTTATGGAGGACCATTATTCTGTTCTTGATGGTTCCCACCTAGCCCAGTTCCCCACCTGACTTTTTCTGCTGGAGGAAAAGTCACTCAAGCAGGACAATGCAAGGAAGAGTCTGGGATAGATTTGGACCTGCGAAGAATGGAACATCCCTGCCTGGCCCTGGTTCCTCCTTCTCTGTTCCTGGGATACCAGCTGAAGAAAAAGGATGGAGCTGTCACTGAAAGGGTAGAGAGCAACTATGATGAGTCTACAATCTGCCAGGCTCAGTTTGGTTTTCTGGCACTTGAGGTAACCCATAGTGGGAATGCCACCATTCTGGAATACGTCAACATAGAAGCCAAGATGTCTCTCCACCATTATCTCCCATATGAAAGGGGCATTTTCTGCACTATATCAGAAAGTTTCTTGAAAGCCTCTGATAAACATGTGACATTAAAAGAGAAATGGAGGTGGAAGTCCCAGTGTAGTTTTAGACATTTATGTCCTTCTGATCTTGCTGCTATGATTCACATACTGGTAACCAACCTTTTGAATTAGTGAAATGCATCACACGAGCCTACATTGAAGTCATTCTGGAAACCTGACCTAATTCAAATACGGCTGAAAGGATTATTCTGCCTAGATCCAGGTATTATGATCACTGTGCCAATCTGCTCTCATCTGCACTCCCAATCTGTTTCCCAGACCAATTTAATGTCTAGTTTTAATCTACAATTTAGATTAAATGGGAGATTACAATTGTAGATCTGCATTACCTAAAACTATTCAGTGCCTGATGAGGCCTCTTCTAGCATATACCTACTCACACTTTAAGCTAATCTGAGCTCTGTCCCTTAAGACATGTAAGACATTTGCAAGTTTTGAACAAAGCATGATTTTCCTGCCCATGGGCTAACCTTATCATCCTACCTAGTCAGAGAGGTCATCGGAGGAGATTTTCCTACATGCTCCTCGGGGATCTATGGCTATACTGGATCCACCAGGAGAAAGGACTTCAATTTGTTGGCCCCACTTCAATGTGTTGCCCACCGCCCCCACCTCAGGAGGGAATATCTGGATCCCTTTGTCAGTTCCACAGATGAGGCAAGGAGATGGCACAGCAAAAGGTTCACCTGGGAACACCCTTAGCTTCCAACAATGTCATTTTCTTTTGGAAGGCTAATGAAGAGAAGGGGTGAGGTGAGATGAGGTGAGGTGAGGTGAGGTGAGGTGAGGTGAGGTGAGGTGAGGTGGAAAGGGACAGGATGGGATGGGATGGGATGGGTCAGGTCTCTTCCTCTCCACACCTGTGCCTGGCAATGCCCACTGCCAGTGGTATGCCTCCCCTAACTACTTTCCCATGCAGGACTGTGGCCCTTGACCCTGAAAAGAATGCCTCCTGCTTCTTTCCTTTCTGTATGTATGCAAAGTAATCAGATTTATTTGTCACCTTCCACAAATTTTCCAAGCAGAGAATATACAATATTTTATTGTTTTGATGATATGATAGTATACATTCACTGATGCATTTTTTTTTTTTTTTGGTTTTAATTATTGTGACCCACTCAGAGAGTTTCAGCTATTGGGCAATAGAGAAGGGTAATAATAAATCAAAATCAAAAGCATGTTAAAGTGTGGTTTTGTGTGCTAAGAACTTAAGGACTTTCCTCAAGGCATCCTTTACCTCCTTGTTTCGCAGACTGTATATGAGTGGGTTGAGGAGGGGAGTCAGCACTACATAGAAGAGAGAGAAGATCTTGTTCAAGTTCTGAAGTGCCTCTGCTCTTAAGAGATAGACAATCATTATGGTGCCATAGAAAATGGACACCACCGTAAGATGAGATGAGCAGGTAAAGAAGGCCTTTTGCCTCCCAAGATTGGATGGGATTCTCAGAATGGCTAATATGATGTAAGTGTAAGTTGCCAGAGTTAAAACAAAGGGTGGCAGAGAGCACACACCTGCCAGAAGGATTGTTATCCACTCTGTGGCATGGGTGTCACTGCATGACAACTTTAACAATGGCCTGTAGTCACAAAAGAAATGGTCAATTTTGTTTGGACCACAGAAGGTCAGTTGCTGCATCAAGTAGATGGTCAGGCTAGCAACCAGTGAACTATTTAGCCAGGATCCAACTACCAGCTGGAAGCAACTCTTGCTGTCCATAAGGGTCACATAGAGCAACGGCTTGCAGATTGCTACATACCTGTCATAAGACATTACTGCCAGGAGATAACACTCAGCTACTGCCAGGAAACCAAAGAAATAATATTGTGCCATGCAGCCAGCAACAGAAATGACAGAAAAATGGTGGAGGAGGCCAGAAAGCATCTTGGGGACAATGCTGGAACTGTAGCAGATCTCCAAGCAGGACAAATTTCCCAGGAAGAAGTACATGGGACTGTGAAGGCTGTGATCTAACACCACCAGCATGATGATGAGCATATTCCCCACCATGGTTGCCATGTAGATCACGAGGAAGAGCAGGAAGAGGAGAAAATCTAGATCTCCCAGATCCCCAAATCCCAGCAGGAGGAATTCAGTGACACCCGTAGAGTTTGCAGGGTCTCCATTTGCAAGATGCATTGCAGTTGCTTGGACCTACAAAGACCACAAAAATATTGGAATGTGCCATTGACCCTCCATCCATCTAGCTCAGTGTTACTTACTCTGTCTGAAGGTGGCTCTCCAAAGCCTCCAGCCACCTGAACTCTGGCCATGGTTCAAGAGGAACCCCACAGAGACCTAGCCCTGAATCCATTTCCCAAGGCTGTGAATCTATTCCACATAGCCCTCCATCTCAATAGACAGAAACAGAAGGTTATTTTCTCAGCTTCGTTGCTAGGCAGGGAGAAACATTCAAGAGAGATTGCAGCTAAGGAAGAAAGGGTTAACTATCCCTTTCCCATATTCATGCTGTAAATCCCGAGCACTACCACTCCATATACGCATGTATTCATGTATTCCCTGCATATAAAAATGCTTTAAAAACACCTTCTTCCCAATGGTTTAGAATGCATTGGGTCAGGGTCCAGACTTAATTTTATTTCAGATTTTATTTATTTATTTATTTATATTAAAACATTTCTAATTTCTATGCCGCCCCTTGCCGAAGCCTCAGATCTACTTCAGATGAAGTAGATGAGAAATTAAGTGGCTGCCATTGCAGCCTGTGAAATTCAAAAAAATCCTGGAATGTAGTTCTGAATCTGCACATAGTCTAGATAACATGTATGCAGATATGTGTCCTATGGATCTGGGGTCTTTTAAGTCCCTAGCAATGCACCTGGCATTGTAGCAATGCACCTGCAGTCATTTGTAGCCAGTGGAGCCATCTATGCACTCTGCATGCAAAACTTTCTCTCCTCCATATCATATAAATGGCAGTGTCAAGGAATATTGGTTGACTCCAGAAGTTGCCTTCTGCAAAAGAACAGCATCTGCTTCGATAAAGTCCCTTCATCCGTTTTGGGAGGATCCCTCTTTCTCCCCGCACCACCATTCACCCAATTCAGTGGGGTCTCCTGACCTATTTGTAGCATTTCCCAGAAGCTGGAAAGGCTGCTGTGGGGGGAAGGAGGTGAGGAAGTCTACTCTATCTTCTGTTGCAGTTGACCCTACACAAATCTGAGTCCAACACTACAACAGAGAGGGAGTAGAAGGTATCAATGCAACTTTTCTTCCTTTCACTGTGCAATCCTGTGAAAACAGGTTCCATGGGACTTGCCCCAGGAAAGCCCATGAACCATGGTTGCCTTGATAGGGTCAAAGTTTCAGTAGTGTCTGCTCTGACAAGTAGTGATGCTCTTAGCTGTCGGGCATAGATTTTTCCCAGTCTCATTGTAAATGGAGATTCTGGGAGCAGAAGGTAGGACCTTCTGGGACTTCAATCTCCATGCCGAGTCTGGACTGACCGGGGCGGCTCAGGACTTCATGGCCTCTATGACGGCCATGGGCCTGTCTCAACACGTCATTGGCCCGACCCATGAACGTGGACACACTCTGGACCTGGTATTCACGACGGGGCAGGTAGAGGATGACCTGAGGGTGAAGAACTTATGTTTGACTCCCCTGTCATGGTCAGATCACCTCCTGGTGAGGTTTGTGCTCGAGAGCGGCCTCTCCCTCTATAAGAGTGCGGACCCGATTGTATGGGCCCGCCCCCGGAGACGGATGGATCCGGATGGATTCCTGAAGGCCCTGGGGGAGTTTCCGGCTGACAAGACTGGTGCTCCTGTCGAGGCTCTGGTCGAACTGTGGAACGGAGAGATGACCAGGGCTGTGGACACGATCGCTCCTAAGCGTCCTCTCCCACCGGGCAGAGTCCGCTCTTCCCCTTGGTATACACCTGAATTACGGGCGATGAAGCGAGTTGGGAGACGGCTAGAGCGTAGGTGGAGGAAATCACGAGATGAATCTGACCGAATACACCTGAGAGCCCACTATCGGGCCTATGCTGTGGCAGTGAAGGCGGCGAAAAAGAAGTTTTTTTCCGCTTCCATTGCCTCCTCACAATGCCATCCGGCGGAGCTTTTTCGAGTGGTGCAAGGCCTGGTTCGCCTGGGTCCTAAGGAAGATCCGATGCCACCCTCAAAGGCCCGCTGTGACGACTTTGCCAGGCATTTCAGGGAGAAAATCACTCAGATTTGTCACGAGCTGGACTCCACTAATGAATCAGAGGTCTCTGAGGAGTCGCCAATGCCACCGTCTGGTCCAAAATTATTGGAGGAATTTCAATTATTGCAGCCCAATGATGTGGACAAGGTGCTTGGAAGAGTACGTCCCACCACTTGCCTATTGGATCCTTGCCCGTCTTGGTTAATAAATAACTCCAAGCACGGGATTGGGACCTGGATCTTGGAAGTGGTTAACGCTTCTCTGAGGGAGGGTCGAGTGCCTGCCCCTTTAAAGGAGGCGGTAATACGACCGGTCCTGAAGAAAGCGTCACTGGATCCAGAGATGGCCACTAACTATAGACCTGTGGCCAACATCCCGTTTCTGGGCAAGGTGTTGGAGCGAGTGGTGGCAGGACAACTCCAAGCACTCTTGGATGAAACTGATTATCTGGATCCTTTTCAGTCCGGCTTCAGACCCGGGTACAGTACTGAATCTGCCTTGGTCACCCTGTACGACGACCTGTGCAGGGAGAAGGACAGGGGGAGTACATCCCTGTTGGTTCTTCTGGACCTCTCGGCGGCTTTCGATACCATCGACCATGCTATCCTTCTGGATAGACTTGCGGGATTGGGGGTTGGAGGCACTGCTCTGCAGTGGTTCCGCTCCTATCTCGACGGTCGATTCCAGAAGGTAGTGCTGGGGGACCATGTCTCTACGTCATGGCAGTTATGCCATGGGGTACCACAGGGCTCCATTCTATCCCCTCTGCTATTTAACATCTATATGAAACCGCTGGGAGAGGTCATCAGGAGGTGTGGGCTGCAGAATCATCAATACGCTGATGATACCCAGCTTTACCTCTCGTTCTCCACTAATCCAGGTGAGGCAGTGGCTGTGCTGAACCGGTGCTTGGCCGAGGTAAGGGAATGGATGAGGGCCAATAAACTGAAACTCAACCCAGACAAGACGGAGGTCCTGTTGGTTGGCGGATCGGGCTTCGGAAAGGGTGGATTTGACCTGGTCCTGAATGGTGCAACACTCCCTCTTAGGGATAAGGTCCGCAGCTTAGGAGTACTCCTCGACCCGGAGCTTTCTTTGGAAGCTCAAGTGACAGCGGTAGCGAGGAACGCCTTCCTTCAGCTTCGGCTGATTAATCAGCTGCGCCCCTACCTGGAGTACGACTGCCTGGCGACGGTGACACACGCGCTGGTGACTTCCCGCCTAGACTTCTGTAACGCGCTTTACGTGGGGCTTCCCCTGAAGACAGTCCGAACACTTCAATTAGTGCAAAATAGAGCTGCCAGGTTGCTGACAGGGACAGGGTGTTATGCTCACATGACTCCAGTCCTCCGTCAGCTTCACTGGCTTCCCATTGAAGCCTGGGCCCAATTCAAGGTGTTGATTATGGCCTATAAAGCCCTAAACAGCTTGGGTCCTGGCTACCTGAACGAGCGCTTACGTCCGTATATGCCCGACCGCCCTTTGAGATCTGCGGGAGAGTCCCTTCTCCGGGAACTCTCCATGAAAGAAATTAGGAGAGTAAGTACCCGGAGGAGGGCTTTCTCTGCGGTGGCGCCCAACCTATGGAATTCACTCCCCAAAGAGGTCCGCCTGGCACCGTCGTTACTGGTTTTTCGGCGCCAGGTAAAGACCTTTTTATTTAAACATCATTTCAATTGTTAAAACATATGATCTGGCCAGGGCAACTTCTTCTTCCTTCTCTTTCTCCCCCTATATTTTTATTTTATATTGATAATTTTAATTTTATATTTGTAAATCAATGTATTTTTTGTATTTTTGTATTTAATGGTAATTTATTATGTACTATTGTATTTCAATGTATTTTATCATGTTGTAATCCGCCCCGAGGTTTCGGCAAGGGGCGGCATAGAAATGTTATAATAATAATAATAATAATAATAATAATAATAATAATAATAATAATAATAAAGGATGAGCCCTGCCTAAGCTTCCATACTCTGCCAATGGAAGAACATAAGATTCACTATGCTAGATGAGATGAAGGGTCCATTTACCAAGCATTCTGCCCACACAATGTCCCATCAGCTGCCCACAGGAAACCCACCACCCAGTGCTGAGTGCAACAGCATTCTCCCACTCATGTTCCCCAGCAATGGGCAAATATAAGCCTGTCACCTCTGCTACTCAGGATCCTGTTTCATCACTGTTAACAGCCTTGCACTCCTTGAATTTATGAGCAGTTCCTGAAGTCAAGTTCCTCCCATGCTGACCTTCCTGTGAGTAAGCACCATTGAGGTCAATGTGCATTACTTAAGAACCATTGAAGATAATGTGATTAGTTTTTACATAGAAACAAAAAACATAGAAACAGAGTGAGTCAGAAGGGGCCTCCCAGGCCATCTGGTCTGACCCCCGCCTCCAGCCGGCTCCACTCATGACATGCCCACCATGTGCATGTCCAGTCTATCTTTGAACACCCTCACCAATGGGGCCTCAACGACCTCCTGTGGAAGCCCATTCCATACCCTCGGGTTCTAACTGTCAGGAAGTGCTTCCTGCATCCAAAGGGAACCTTGGTTCCCTGAGCTTTGCTCCATTGGAGAGCATCCTGCCTTCCTCTGCAGGGGAGAACAGATCTCTACCTATCTCCATGTGACATCCACTCACATACCTGTAGGTAGCTAACATATCCCCTCTGAGTCTCCTCTTCTCCTGGCTGAAGAGACCCAGTTCCCTCAGTCTTGCCTCATCCCCTGCAAACCGGCCACCAACCTTGTGGCCCTATGTTGCACTGACTCTAACCTGGCTATATCCTTACTGTAATGAGGGGCCCAAAACTGAGCACAATGCTCCAGTTGCAAGTACACCAGAGTCATATAGAGTGGTAGTAATACCTCTCTCGATCTAGAAGCCAGACTTCTGGCTATGCAACCAGAAGTGATAGACATGTATGGAAGTGCCACTAAGGCAATGTGATTTACTTCTGA